GCTGCTTTGTCCTACAAAGGTTGGGGAGAGTTGTTGTCATGGGCCCATAAGCTTACAAAGCTGAAACCATTTCCTATTTCACCCTTAGTAGAAAAAGTTTGCTGATCATTGTGACATGACTCACAGAAAATCAAAGCAAAAATGATCCTGCCAGATCACTTAATCCAGTGATTCAAAAGCCTAGACACACATTATTATCACCTGGACACATTTCAAAACACAGACAAGTCCTGTCACCTTGTCCCCAGCAGAAGAACTAAGTTCACTGCCCTTTGTGAGCCTCAAGAAGCTTTATTCTGGCATTTATTCATGTTCAGCCAGATTGAGAGCCCATGATCTAATCCATTCTTTCACTGTACAAATGAGAAAGTCTAAACCAGGAAGTTAAAGTGACAGGTACAAAGCCCTAATCACTTTTCAAGCCTATCACATATTTTTGTACACTCCATGATGGAGTTCATAAGACTCTTGTACTAATTCAAGGCTCAAGAATATCATACTATCATTTAGTTTTTCTTCATTGGCTTGCTGTAGGTTTTAGATCAGCTGTAGTAACTACAGAGTAACAATCAATGGATTTCAGCATTTAGGATGGGTATGGTGTGTGGTTTTTGTCAGATTTGGAATAATGCCTACATACACCTTAGGAGTTGACATTTTTATGTGAAATGGTTAAGAAGAGAGAGAACATCAGAATTGCCAGCAACCTGAAAAATTTACTAACCAAAACATTTCATCTCACAAAAGAAGAAAATAAGGCTCTGGAGATGGGGAGATTACTTGCCTAAAGACACTCGACAGAATGAAATACAAGGCTCTCTGTAGGTGGATGGGTATATGCCTTGAAAAATACATCACAAAGACTTGAAAGATCAGCAACAAACCACAATCAAGCTCCCATTAAAAGGAGGCAAAAGACAAGAGGATAAATCAATTCTTCTGTCAGATCCTTATAAGAGAAGATGCTTTCAATACAAGAGCATTCTGTAACAGCAGCCATAAAGAAAAGAAAATTTCCCTTTTTCTCCTCCCACCACATTTCCCATTGCTCATTCTACAATTAGTCACATGATCCTCAGTGGAACACAAAACAAACACAGGTGATGAAAGCACAAAGGAGAAACAGAGGGAGTTTGTATTGACAGAAAACGCTTCTCAAATTGCACCAACCATGCAAAAACTTTCTGAAACTCCATTAATGGGGATCTAAATGGAAGCCTTGTAAGTTCATTGTCCTTAACCTGGTGGCTTCCTTCCTTTTATCAGGGACATACAGTTCAGTTCAACAGGATAATCATCTAGTGGAAACAGGGATGCTTATCTGCTGGTTTTCTTGGAAAACTAAGACAGTAGCATGCACATATTAAGATTATTCACTTTATGTTTCCTCTGTGGTAAACAGTTCTGGAAAGATATGAGTTACCAAATAAAGAAATTATGTGTGAGCACCCCTTAGTCACCAGATCATGTAATAGTGCTACGTTTACAACATTACCTTTTACACCCCTGCTGGCTCTTGTTTATTTATTTAGCCTTCACAAAGAGAGCAGACAGAACCTTTGTCTTCTTTTAACGGTCCCTTAAGATCCTGTGTATATTTGGGGGAGATGTACAGGAACTCCTATCCTAGCATGCCAAATCTACTAGAAAATAATCTAACTGCATGTTTTATGGATGCATGGAGGTGTCAAGATGGTAGCTGGATATGCTTAGATAATGAGAGAGAGGTACACACTAAACATATGAATCAATAATAAAGAGACAGCTTTTGAATTATGAGGTTAGCTACCAATAGCTAGAGAGAATTCAGATAGAAGATAGCTATAATGCAAGTGATGTTTAAAAAGCTCAAGAGATGACAGTCCAGGAGACAACAGGAAAACGAAGTATAAGGATTCATCCATGGAAAATACTCCTCAACAACTGCAAGAGATGAAGATATGATGTTGTGCAGGACATGATGTTTATTGTGACTTAAGTGGGTGATGAAAATGAAATAAACTGTGAAGAATGGAAGATATAACAGAGAGAAGCAATCTCGGTTAAGTTTCTCTATAAACAGGTCAAAGAGGTAGGGTAGGAACTGGAGACCAAAAGAGAGTATTCACTGATAAGACAAGGCTCACAAAGGGCAGGGAACTAACAGTATTGGCCTGTATGTAGGAGCAAGGACATAGTGGGGGAAGGGTACATATACTTAGAGGGTATGTAAGAACTCAAGCTCTGAGATGTTATGTGCACTGGAAGATGATCTAGCAGTGTGATGTATTAAGAAAGCTAGTAGATAACAGTGATGCAATTATTTCTGTGAGATATGTAGCAAGGTCATTGTAGCAATGACATCACACTGAATTTTTGCTTAAGGTTGTAAAACCCTTGATAGTTAGATCAGGTGGACATAAAATTTGGAGGCATTGTTCAGTCTCTCTCCCCTCTGACTCACAAAGGAAGAGGTGAAAACAAAGGCACTACTAGGTAGTTTTAGCAGCACTGTAGGGGGAGTAGCATGATGGGAGTTAATAGCAGACAGGGATCACAAACACCCAGGAAGGCCCACCGGCAGTGCTTGGCAGAAAAAATAAAAACATACACATGCTCTTTGTTGTCAAACAAAAGATTATAACTTTTAAAATGAAATCAAATGCAAATATTGAATTTTCATAGACCATAGCATAGACACAATAGGTTCTTGTAAAGGTCCTTTCACACACCATGATAGATACAATGTCAAAGAATAGGATATAAAGCCCAACACACCCATGGAAAAATCTGGAGAAATAAAATACTTTAAAGTGTCTCTCATGGAAACTAGACACATGGAGTAGAAATTTATTGAGCAAAGGTTTTGATATCCTATGTATATGCTATTCTAACAGGGGTGTGTAAACTGCAGTTCACAGGCCACATTCAGCTACATGTGGTCAAATAGAGCTATAAATGAAACCCAACACAAAATCGTAAACTTTCTAAAAACTCCATGTTGTATTGTGTGATTTGGTTTTGTACCTCAGTTGTACAGTTCTTGAATGTGAACTCTGTAGATGACAACATTGTGTCACAATGTCAAATGTTTGGCTTTGTTATTAAGCCAAAAAATTAATGTTGCAAAGAGAATTGTGAATGTACAAGGTAAAGAGATTTTTTTAAAAAGAAATAGGTAATGTACACAAGGGTTTTGAATTATAAAGTCACAGCTGTAAGAATTTAAGGAAATAAATGGAAACAGCATTTCTATAATATTCTTCAACTTACTTTCCACAGATACTATGTCTTTATTAGAGCTCTCAAAAACAAATGCAACCAAGGACAAGTGTGGAGGAGAGACCAGGAATCTGTCTAACTTAAAACCAAGTAAACTACATTAAGGGAATTATTAAGATACTTTAGCAAACTACGAAGACACATGGACAAGAAGAATATTTAAAAGATTTTATGTTTTGCCCCTGAGATATAGTTATGATTTTTGTTTTAAGAAAAACTAGATTATAGAAAGTTTGCAACTACATGAATGTGTGTCTGAAAACATAAGGAAAAGAAGTTGCATGATGATTTTTAACTGGGGATTCTAGAGCCTCCAGGAATGAAGTAATGGATGAATGCCTCTAGTTCAAAAGCCTAAGATTCAATCAAGGGTCAGCAAAGATGGCTCAGCAGGTAAAGGGAGTTGTTGCTAAATCTGATGATCTGAGCTAGGTCCATAGGACTCATGGTGAAAAGAAGGAACTGACCTGACAAGCTGCCCTTTGACCTCCACACTCATGTTGTGGTATGGACAGCCCTCACCCACATCAATAAATATAATAAAACTTTTTAAAAGAAATCAGTGGTGAAGTTCTTGGACTAACTCTAAATATATCTGAAAATATTTATTTCATTAAAATATAAATGTAAGTATGTGTAGTTTTCTTTCATTTCTCACCCTGGCCATTATAGGGTTAAGAGTCCTTGACACCACTTTAGCACATAAATATCACTTCATGTTCTCAACCCATGGTAGAAGGCACAATTAAGCCAAAAAACAATCTCTGAACATACAAGTACACAAATGCAGGACAGCATCAGTCAAGTGAAAAGGAGAGGAACAATGATAAATGCTGAGGAGGGAACAATTACTAAAACCAGACATATTAAAAATAAGACAGTAACATTATGGAAAGTGTCAGGCTCTGAATGTAAAACCTTAACACAGAAGAATTTCTTAAACAGGAAAAAATGCATAAGCCAGAAGGAAAAGACAAATAAACTAATCTCTATCAAATTCAAGGAGAGATACTATGAGTAAAGCCACTGGTTCAAGGGCCATTTACGTATATAGAACAGACAACTGATCCAGGATCCATAAACACCTACAAATCAATTGAGAAAAAACAAACAAACCGCAACACAACCCTATCTAGTTGAAAAGTAAGCAAACGACATAAACAATCACTTAATAGAAAGAAAAGACAAACAAAAAACAAATGGTCAAAAAGAAATAGGCATTGAGATATTCTGACATTTTAGTAGTTACTTCACACTCCTCAGATTGGCAAAATAAAAAAAATAAAAAAATAAACCTGACTAAGAATGCTGCTGGAAACCTTCACATACTCTATTAGTGCCAGTATATACTAGCACAACAGAACCCAGAGTAATCTGGCATCAGCTAGTGAAGTTAAGCTTGGGAAATTCTATTCCCAGCAGTTCCTCCCAGTCCTAGGATTTGCTTCTGAAAACTCCTGAGCAAGGAGACTTGTACAAGAACGTTCACAGTGACAATCCATGAGGATGAAAGATAAATCATGTCAGGGTTTAATGCATGATACAAAACGTCTTTAAATCTACCTGAACTCATGTAAAACAATCTTGTTTCTCATTAAAATAAAAAAATGATAAAAAATTTACCTGAACAACATTTTATTTCTTAAACTGGTTAACATATAGGTGTGTTTGTGTATGTGTATGATTACCTATTTCTGTTTTATCTTCAACTTTCCATAAAATTAAAAATAGTAACTTACCAAGCTATCCACATCAATGCTTGTGTTTACAGCCCATTGCAAAGTACTCATGATATTCATAGCTAAAGTTAGAATAATGCCAGTTGATCCTTCTCCTTCACCTAGACATGGAAAAAGGGTTTAAGCAAATGCACGTTATCTTTCTCTTCTGTGAATTATTTTACTCATATCTCTCTTATCACATGTCATTTCATTCAAATTTCAATTTAATGCTGATTTAGCAATTCCTAGGAACAATAATGCCCTCATAGAATAAGCTCTCAGCCAATTTTTAAAGTCAATAGAGACTGAATATTGGAAAATTTTTGCACTTTAAAATGCTGTTTAGGAACTGAAGGTAATGTTGGTATTAGGTAGACAACACATTTGTCTCTTCTACTATTAGTCTATATGTAACAATAAAAACAAATACTAGATTGAACAGCAGAAAAAAAGCCCTAGATCCAAATGAGCTCCTGTAAAAAAGTCAAAGAGGGATGCACACATTTGAGTATCTTCGGCAGAAATGCTTAGCACCTTTGCAATGGTCACTGTCTCTGATAATCAGAGGTTGTCCAGAAGAAAGTAGACTTGCTGTGTCACCAGGCAGTCAAAAAACTAATGTCAACTTTTTCTCAAGAGAAAAGTTTGCTCATTATACTAAAAGAAAGAAGGAAAAAGACCAATATGCTTGAAAAGGACAGTGCTAACATGATTTAGAGTAAATTTCTTTTAGGATTAGAAAGGACAACTAATTAAATTTAAAAAAAATTCAGAATTATGATCATAAAAATATCCAAGATAAATATTCATAAATTATTATTAACTCAAATTATCATGTCCCAACTATAGTGCTTTAATCTAGCAATAACTAATTACCATAATGTTAGACACAGATGAGCAAGTCACACTATTATTGACTGAAATTTTTCATGTGTACATTTTCTCCAGTTTAAGATCCAACACAGACAGCACATAACTGCTTTTCTAGCATCAAATAATGTATTGAAAATTGTTCAAAGTTCATCCGGGTCTCCTAGATATTTCTTATGTGAAGGCTAAAAATAAGTAAGATAAAATTTCACTGATTACGACAACAAGTAATGTAATAGTTACAGACAAGACTACACTGTTTTGAAAAAAATATCACAGTACTATGGAAGAGGTATTACTGTGTGTCTGTGCACACAAGAACAATTGGAGAAGTCATTCGATGCCTGTAAGTTAATACAAATTAATATTAGTTGAGACCAATAGGGTCTGGTCAGCAATGGCTGAATTCTTAGGCCGTGCTTCTCAAATCAACTGGAGGTGCTGTACAATGCTGACCTTGGTAAGCCAGGACTTGATCAGAATTAATTATTAAGTTTTACTCCATGTAATTCCGTCATATTTGATCCACTTTTAATAAGCTTATATAAAAATAATCAACACTCTGTTTCCCCCAAATCATTTTAAGGTACTCTTCTGCACAGCTGAAGAGTCACAGACATGCCTACCTATTTATATCATTTTCATAGATTCACTTCCCAGTGAAGCATTGAGAAAGCAATGCATGGGGAAGTTGACCATCCTCACAGCAGTTGTGTATCTTCAGAGGGCCCAAAGCCAAAAGGAATCTGCTTTCCATACTCTCTAGGCCTTTATAATTAGACGGAGTTTCTCTACCATTAATTCAAAAGGCAGAATGGAGAAGCCACATGAAGTTCATGAGGTGTGGTCCTTGTAAATGAAGGCAACTAATCAATCTTTAAGGGATGATGGAGGGGGAGAGAAGGAGGGAGGGAGAGGGAGACACAGGAGGGGGGAGGGAGGGAGGGAGAGGTGGGAGGAAGGGAAGAAAAAATACACACACGAGAGGACATGAAGTGTCCATAGGAAGTGCTGAACACAAGCCAGCATCTGTTTAAGAGACAGAAGCATGCCTATGCCTGACTCTGGTGCCTGTTCTTGTCCCTCCAGCTACCCAAGTGTGACACCCACCCTGAAGCTGCATGAGGCCTTCTGATAACTCATCAAATGGTGGTTCCTTTAGGGTTGAGCAATTCTATTCTTATAATCAAATAATGTTGCAAACATGGCATTGGTGTGACATTCATTCTGAACTTCTGCCATACATACAATATGTAATGTTTTATACATAATAAAATGTTATATATAAAACATATAGCATTTTGGCTCAGAAATCCAACACCTTAAAATAGAGGTACTCATTTATCTGTATAGATTTTAATTTTCTTTTCTGACGTGCATTATGTCACATACTCTGTCTTTTTTGCTCAAAAATAGTAAATTTCAGAACCTTAGTATTTGAAAAATAACACAGTTTATCTAGATTATTTTACTTCTGTGGCAATTTTTATTTCTTCAAAATTCAAATAAGACAAAGAATTTTACAAATAAGCATCTGTTAAAAGAAGAAAATTTACAGGAACGATGAGAGAAGCGCGCATGCATGTGCAAATGCATGTGTTTATTTGTGTGTTGTGTATGTGTTTGTGTGTGTGGATGTGTGTGTACATGTGTATGTGTGTGTGTGTGCATGTGTATGTATGTGTATATGTGTGTATGTGTGTGTATGTGTGTGTGTGTGTATGTGCATGTGTGTGTATGTGTATGTGTGTGTATGTGCATGTGTGTGTATGTGTGTGCATGTGTATTATTGTGTTATGTGTGTGCATGTGTGTATGTATGCATGTGTGTGCATGTGTATGCATGTGTGTGCACATGTATGTATGCATGTGTATGTGTTGTGTGTATGTGTGTGCATGCGTATGTGTGTGTATTGTGTGTATGTGTGTGTGCAGATGTATGTATGCATGTGTGTGCATGTGTATGTGTGTATGTATTGTGTGTATGTGTGTGTGCGTGTATATGAATATGCGTGTGTGTGCATGTGTATGTGTGTATGTGTGTGTGTATGTATGCGTATGTGTGTATGTATTGTGTGTATGTGTGTGTGCGTGTATATGAATATGCGTGTGTGTGCATGTGTATGTGTGTATGTGTGTGTGTATGTATGCGTGTGTGCATGTGTATGTGTGTGTGGGTATGTATGCGTGTGTGCATGTGTATGTGTGTGTGGGTATGTATGCGTGTGTGCATGTGTATGTGTGTATGTATTGTGTGTATGTGTGTGTGCGTGTGTATGTGTGTGTGCGTGTGTGAGTATGCGTGTGTGTGCATGTGTATGTGTGTGTGTGTATGTATGCGTGTGTGCATGTGTATGTGTGTATGTGTGTGTGTATGTATACGTGTATGTGCATGTGTATGTGTGTATGTATTGTGTGTATGTGTGTGTGCATGTGTATGTGTGTATGTATTGTGTGTATGTGTGTGTGCATGTGTATGTGTGTATGTATTGTGTGTATGTGTGTGTGTGTATGTATGCATGTGTGTGCATGTGTAGGTGTGTGTGCATGTGTATGTGTGTGTGTGCTCGGGCTTGCATGCACATGCACATTTCTCTCTCCAATTCAGAGATTTCCTTAAAACAGAAATCTATTAATTCTGAAGTCAGGATTCTTTGCCAACATTACCACGAGAAGACTTTTTTTTTCTATTAATCACATTCATGCCATCTGAACCAGTATCTCCTCATTTTTAAAACAGTGGAACCAGGGGAAAATACCATATAAATCTTTAAACCAAATAAATTATTTGGAAACAAAACAACAGAAATGCAAAGAAATCACTTGTCCTTGTGGATAAGCTCCATAATACTTTTAAAACATCTAAACTATTTAATTTTAATTAAAAATGCATTTTATTCAATGACAGAAATTTTTACCTAGATGCTCAGCAAAGTTGTTAATAAGTTCACAGTACCTGTTGTCAAAATGGAAATGAAGGTAACAACAATGAAGAAGAGGACAAAAATCATGTCTATTCTCATTTGGAACCAGCGTAAGGTTGACAGATACATAAACCAGTTGGCAGTGTGTAAATTCAGAGCTTTGTGGAACAGAGTTTCAAAGTAGGGTTGGCGTCCAAAGGCACGAAGTGTCCACAGTCCTTTTACACTTGTAACAAGGTGGGTGAAAATTGGACTCCTGCCTGTGAATCATTCCATTGGAGATAACATGAAGCTTGTAATACAGAACAGAATTTCACATTACCATGCTCTGACAAAGATTAACTTAGGAGCAACAACATATAAAGCATCACTGGTTGGAGGGGCTCTTACCCCAAGACAAGCTTACTTTTATAATTTATAGTTCAAGGCCCCTCCTTTCACCAGCCAATCATGGGTGATAATTCAGTACAGAATTATTCTCCTTTATAACTCACATTTCTTGGCAAACAGTAGTCATTATTCTTGGCTAATCCTAAATTACTAACTGCTGAGAAAATGAGTTTTGTTGTTAAGAGTCAAATTTCTAAATCTCTCATTGAAAATTTTCTTTGAATTGATTTAACTTTTAAGTTTCAAAGAAACACTTTGAGCTTATTCTGTTATAGAAAATTTCCCCACACCAAGGCTTCTTTTGAAAGACAAACTACCTAAAGAGCTCAAGCAAAGATTAACCAAAAGAAGCCAGGACATTAAGGAAAACGAAGAATTCTGTCTGGTTTCACTTGAAATCTAGGCGAAACTCTGAGGAATGAAAGCATTACTGTTTTTACTTTGACCAATGTAAGAAATTATGAATATCTATGAATAATTATGGTATGGTTATATATTTGTTTGAAGACCAAAACAAAGTCATACTGAATGACAAATTAAGTCCATGTGTACTTTGTTTTATTACACATCCAAAAAAATCATTGTTAGGCTGGGGAGAGCTAAGTGGGAAGTGTGCTTGCTGTACAAGCATCAGGACCTGAAATTGTGAAACACTGGGCCTGGCCTGAATGTCTGTAATGCTAGGGGTAAAGACAGGTGGGTCCCAAGGCCTCCTGGGGCAGTCATTCTAGCTGAAGCAACAAGCTTAAGAGCTTAAGGTCTCTCCTCTCTCTCTCTCTCTCTCTCTCTCTCTCTCTCTCTCTCTCTCTCTCTCTCT